TGTGCTGCTGGGGTTCCATTGAGAAAGTTCTTCCCCCTATACCAATTAATTCCAGAGTATTTCCTACTCTTTCCTGTACCAACTTTAGAGTTTGGGGTCTGATATTAAGATCCTTGATCCATTTTGAGTTAATATTGGTATAGGGTGATATATATGGATCTAGTTTCAGTTTTTTGCAGACTGCTAACCAGTTTTCCCAGCAGTTTTTGTTGAAGAGGCTGCTATTTCTCCATCGTATATTTTTAGCTCCTTTGTCAAAGACAAGTTGGTTGTAGTTGTGTGGCTTCATGTCTGGGTCCTCTATTCTGTTCCACTGGTTTTCATGTCTGTTTTTGTGCCAGTATCATGCTGTTTTTATTGTTATTGCTTTGTAATATAGTTTGAAGTCAGGTATTGTGATACCTCCTCTATTGTTCTTTTGACTGAGTATTGCCTTGGCTATTCGTGGCCTCTTGTGTTTCCATATAAATTTAACAGTAGATTTTTCAATCTCTTTAATGAATGTCATTGGGATTTTGATGGGAATTGCATTAAACATGTAGATTACTTTTGGGAGTATAGACATTTTTACTATGTTGATTCTACCAATCCATGAGCATGGGAGATCTCTCCACTTTCTATAGTCTTCCTCAATCTCTTTCTTCAGAAGTTTATAGTTTTCCTTGTAGAGGTCGTTCACATCCTTTGTTAGGTTAACACTAGGTATTTGATTTTTTTTGAGGCTATTGTAAATGGAATTGTTTTCATATATTCTTTCTCAGTTTGTTCATTATTAGTGTATAGAAATGCTAATGATTTTTCTATGTTGATTTTATATCCTGCTACCTTGCTATAGCTATTGATGGTGTCTAGGAGCTTTTGAGTAGAGTTTTTTGGGTCTTTAAGGTATAGGATCATGTCATCTGCAAATAGGGATATTTTGACAGTTTCTTTACCTATTTGTATTCCTTTTATTCCTTCTTCTTGCCTAATTGCTCTGGCTAGGAATTCCAGTACTATGTTGAATAGGAGTGGAGATAGTGGGCATCCTTGTCTAGTTCCTGATTTTAGAGGGAATGGTTTCAGTTTTTCTCCCTTAAGTATAATGCTGGCTGTAGGTTTGTCATATATAGCTTTTATAATGTTGAGGTACTTTCCTTCTATTCCTAGTTTTCTTAGAGCTTTTATCATGAAATGGTTTGGATCTTATCAAAGGCTTTTTCTGCATCTATTGAGATGATCAAGTGGTTTTTGTCTTTGCTTCTGTTAATGTGGTTTATGTTTATTGATTTTTATGTTGAACCACCCCTGCATTCCTGGGATGAAGCCTACTTGGTGTGGTGAATGATCTTTTTGATGTGTTGTTGAATTGGTTTGCCATTATTTTATTGAGGATTTTTGCATCAATGTTCATTAAGGAGATTGCCTATAGTTCTCCTTTTTGGAGGTGTCTTTGCCTGGTTTTAGGATAAGTGTAATACTGGTCATAAAATGTGTTAGGCAGTTTTCCTTCCCTTTCTATTTCATGGAACAGTTTAAGGAGGGTTGGTATCAGTTCTTCTTTAAAGGTCTGATAGAATTCAGCAGAGAATCCATCAGGTCCTGGACTTTTCTTTTTGGGAGACTCTTGATTGCTGCTTCAATTTCATTTTGTGTTATAGATCTATTCAGGTGATTAATTCCTCTTGGTTCAGTTTTGGATGATCATATGTATCTAGAAATCTGTCCATTTCTTTAAGATTTTCAATTTATTTGAATATAGGTTCTTGAAGTAGTCTCTGATGATTTCCTGGACTTCCATGGTGTTTGTTGTTATCTCCCCTTTTGCATTCCTGATTCTACTAATTTGGGTTTTTTCTCTCCTCATTTTAGTCAGGTTTGCCAGGGGTCTGTCGATCTTGTTTATTTTTTCAAAGAACCAACTTTTTGTTTCATTAATTCTTTGTATGGTTTTTTTGGTTTCTATTTCATTGATTTCAGCTCTTATTTTTATTATTTCTCTCCTTCTATTTGTTTTGGGATTTGCTTGTTCTTGTTTTTCTAGGAGTTTGAGATGTATCATTAGGTCATTGATTTGGGATCTTTCAGTCTTTTTAATATATGCACTCATGGCTATAAACTTTCTTCTCAGGACTCTTTTGCTGTGTCCCATAGGTTCTGGTAGGTTGTGTTTCATTTTCATTTACTTCCAGGAACTTTTTAATTTCCTCTTTTATTTCATCAATGACTCATTGTTCATTAAGTAATGAGTTATTCAGTTTCCAGCTGTTGGCATGTATTTTGTCTTTACTTTTGTTGTTGAGTTCTAGTTTTATTGCATTGTGATCAGGTAGAGTGCATGGTATAATTTCTGTTTTCTTATATTTGCTGAGGCTCGCTTTGTGCCCTAGGATATGATCTATTTTGGAGAAGGTTCCATGGGCTGCTGAGAAGAATGTATATTGTGTAGAAGTTGGATGAAATGATCTGTAGACATCAATTAGTTCCATTTGATCTATTGTATATTTTAGATCTAGGATTTCTTTATTGATTTTTTGTTTGGATGACCTATCTATTGATGGTAATAGGGTGTTAACGTCTCCCACAACCACTATGTTGGAGTTACTATATGCTTTTAGGTCCTTCAGGGTATGTTTTTGAAATTGGGTGCATTGACATTGGGTGCATATAGTTTGATAATTATTATTTCCTTTTGGTCTATTTCCCCTTTTATTAGTATGGAATGTCCCTCTTTATCTCATTTGATTAATGTAGGTTTGAAGTCTACTTTGTCAGAGATAAATATTGCTACTCCTGACTGTTTTGGGGACATTGGCTTGGTAAATCTTCCAGCCTTTCATCCTGAGCCTATGCTTATTTCTGTTGGTGAGATGGGTCTCCTGTAAGCAACAAATTGTTGGATCTTCCTTTTTAATCCAGTTCATCAAACGGTGCCTTTTGATGGGGGAATTAAGTCCATTAACATTAAGTGTTAGTACTGATAAGTATGTGGTGATTCCTGTCATTTAGTTGTCTTAGTTGTTTGAAGGTTTGATTGTGTGTACCTAAGTTGAGGTTACTCTCTACTTTCTTGCTTTTTCTTTTCCTGTAGTTTGGTACTGCCTGCCCTTTCATGATTTGTTGGGTTTCACTTTCTGTGTGCAGAATCCCTTGTAGAATCTTTTGTATTGGTGGCTTTGTGGTCAAATATTGTTTTAGTTTCTGCTTATCATGGGGGACTTTTATTGCTCCATCTATTTTGAATGATAGTTTTGCTGGGTAGAGTAGCCTAGGGTTGGAGTTATATCATTCAGTGCCTGGAAGATGTCATCCCAAGCTCTTCTTGCTTTTAATGTTTCTGTTGAGAAGTCTGCTGTGATTTTGATGGGTTTACCTTTGTATGTTACTTGTTTTTTCTCTCTTACAGCCTTCAATATTCTTTCGCTAGTTTCTGTACTTGTTTTAATGATAATATGCCGTGGGGTAGATCTATTTTGGTCTGGTGTGTTTGTTGTTCTCAAGGCCTCTTGCATTAGTATGGACATAGATTTTTCTAGATTTGGGAATTTTTCTGTAATTATTTCATTGAATATGTTATGCATTCCCTTTGCTTGCACTTCTTCTCCTTCTTCAATGCCCATGATTCTCAGGTTTGGTCTTTTGATGGAGTCAGTGAGTTCTTGCATTTTCTTTTCACAGGTCTTGAGTTGTTTAACTAATAGTTCTTCGGTTTTTCCTTTAATTACTATTTCATGTTCGAGTTCTGAGATTCTGTCTTCTGTTTGTTCCATTCTGCTGGATTGGTCTTCCATTTTGTTTTGCAATTTTGTTTCATTCTTTTTTCTGAGGTTTTCCATATCCTGAGTAGTTTCCTCTTTAATGTTGTCTATTTTTGTCCTGAGTGTATTTATCTCTTTATTAATTGTGTTCTTTGTTTCACTTTGGTGTTTATACAGTGCTTCTATGGTTTCTTTTATTTCTTCTTGTGCTTTTTCCAATTCTCTATTTTTGTTGTCTTGGAATTTCTTGAGTGTCTCCTGTACATTTTGTTGACCATATCCAGTATCATTGATTACTTGTGGTATTTCTTCTTTTAGATTATTCTTGTGGGCTTCATTGGGTTCTTTGGCATTGTTTATCTTCATTTTTTTGGAGTCTGGATCTGAGTATCTGTTTTCTTCATCCCTCTGGTTCCTGTCATAATGTTTTGCTGTGGGGAAACTGGTTTCCCTGTTTTTTCTGTCTTCCCGTCATTGCCCTTGGTGTTGTTATTGTCTCTGTACTGTGTGCAGTTAAGTATTTTCTAGCTTGTAATAATAATAATGGTGATATTTAGAATGGAAGGGTGAGAGGAGATGGAAAAACAAAGAAGTAAAGAAAAAGGGAGAAGTCGGTGCATGCTCGCCTGAGGGGAGAGGGGAGGCGAATTGGGGAGGGGGAACCAAGGTGGATGGACTGGAGTGCACGAGGAGCAGGGGGCCCTCCCGGCCTGGCCCGGCCCCACCCCGCCTCACCCCGCCCGCGTGGGCATTCATCCTTGAGCCGCGGGCGCCCAGCCCTGAGCTGCGGGCTTGCGCGTCCGCGCGCTGACCCCTCCCTCAGGCGTTTCGCTCTCCCGGCGCACGTGCAGGGCGGGGAGACGCGGCAGCCATGGTGCCAGCCCCGATCCTGTCAGAGCCGGGGAGCTGGCCCTGAGCCGCAGGCGTGAGCAGGGCCTCCCGCCCACCCCTTGCCATCCCTGGGCTGAGTAGCGCGAGCAGGCCCCCGCCAAGCCCGCCGCGGTGCAGGGAGATGTGCGGCGGCCCCGTGGCAGCACCCCAGGTAAGCGCTTTGCCCCCTAGTGGAGCCCAGGGCACCTCGGGCTGGCCCTGCTGCCCTGCCGCCCTCGGCTTCCGAACTTGGGGGCACTGTGGGGGTGCCTCTCGTGGGTAACGCGTTTCGTTTTCTATAGGATGGGGAGGGACGTGCAGCTCTGCGGTCGCGAACACGCACGGCTGTGAAGTAGGAGCTGCCGGCCGGCTGTCCATCCCTGAGCCATTTGGCCACGACCCCCGGCGTCTGCTGTGGCCGGCTCCGGCGTGTGGAAATGCCTTAAATCTCTGCTAAGGAAGGACGATGCGCCGCTGTTTCTAAATGACACCAGCACCTTTGACTTCTCCGATGAGCTGGGGTACAAGGTACTTTCTCGGTTTAATAAACTTCGAGTCGTGGTGGCCGATGATGACTCGGAAACCCCAGAACGGCCTATTAACGGGCCGCTCCAGGCCAATGATGACTCCTTACTGGACCAGGACTTACCTTTGACCAACAGTCAGCTGAGTTTGAAGATGGACCCCTGTGACAACTGCAGCAAACGGAGAGAGCTGCTGAAGCAGAGAAAGGTGAAAACCAGGTTGACCATTGCTGCCGTTCTTTACTTGCTTTTCATGATTGGAGAACTTGTAGGTGGCTACATTGCAAATAGTCTAGCAATTATGACAGATGCGCTTCATATGTTAACTGACCTAAGTGCTATCATACTCACCCTGCTTGCTTTATGGCTATCTTCAAAGTCACCAACCAGAAGATTCACCTTTGGATTTCATCGCTTAGAGGTTTTGTCAGCTATGATTAGTGTGCTGTTGGTATATGTACTTATGGGATTCCTCTTATATGAAGCTGTGCAAAGAACCATCCACATGAATTATGAAATAAACGGCAATATCATGCTCATCACTGCAGCTGTTGGAGTTGCAGTTAATATAATAATGGGGTTTCTTTTGAACCAGTCTGGTCACCATCACTCCCATTCCCATTCCCTGCCTTCAAATTCTCCTACCACAGGTTCTGGTGGACACAGCCATGGACAGGATAGTTTGGCAGTGAGAGCTGCATTTGTACATGCCTTAGGGGATTTGGTACAGAGTATTGGTGTACTAATATCTGCATACATCATACGATTCAAGCCAGAATACAAGATCGCTGATCCCATCTGTACATACATATTTTCATTACTCGTGGCTTTCACAACATTTCACATCATCTGGGACACAGTAGTTATAATATTGGAAGGTGTACCAAGCCACTTAAATGTAGATTATATCAAAGAAGCCTTGATGAAAATAGAAGATGTATATTCCGTGGAAGATTTGAATATCTGGTCTCTCACTTCAGGAAAATCCACTGCCATTGTTCACATGCAGCTAATTCCTGGAAGTTCATCTAAGTGGGAGGAAGTACAGTCCAAAGCAAAGAGTTTATTATTGAACACATTTGGCATGTATAAATGTACTATTCAGCTTCAGAGTTACAGGCAAGAAGTGAACAGAACTTGTGCAAACTGTCAGAATTCCAGTCCCTGATTTTATGTGTCTTGGGGTCTACTGCCTTATTTATATGCAGTTGCAGACTCGAGAGCAATAAATGCAAACTTAAGTGAGAAAATGGAACCCTGACAGCTGTGTCCCTATCAATCACCAGTATCTCAAAACAATCACTCCAGCCTGATGATGCGTGTGTCTGTTAATGGTAAAATGAGACTTCATGATTTCCAGATGAAGATGTTTCTAAAGAACTGTTTACAGAATGAGATGTAACTCTACAGATACCTCATAGAAGACAATCCAAGACCATACTTCATTGATTTGTACATGTCATAAAGGAAGCATCAAAATTCAGTATTTGCATTTAAAAATACTTTTTAAAGGCCATTTTATATCAAGCCAGTGCTAGCAAACTGAGTTGCATTTTTTTTTAAATTATGTGATCTTGACATCCAGCTTCTGGAATTGCTGCTTTCTTTTTACTGAAATTATTCTCAACAGATTTCAGAAAGTTCTAATAATTATCCAGAGAATGGAATAAGCATGTATTCCTAAAGTGTTTCAGAACTGTTTCATTCACAAATAAGTTTTAATGTTATAGTTATGCTTGATAAACAAGTTTTTCCAGATATTACTGGGTTTCGAATCTCAAAGTTAATGTTTTTGATTATCTATAATCTTGTCAGAACAAAATCTTCACATTATGGTCATTGTCATTAAATTATTTAGGAAGTAATTTAATACAATTCTGAATGGCAAAAAAAAAAAAAAAGAAAAAGGGAAAACCAAATAAACAAACAAGTAGAAACAAACAAACAAAAGTTTCAAAGATATAAACAGGGAGAGATAGTGTACTAGTCAACAGTAAGCTGAACAGGCATTTGAGAGACAGAGAGAGGATTGAAAAAATAAATAAATAAAAAATAAATAAATGAAAAAAAAATCTCCAAGTTCAAATGCAATAAATTTTCAGTCTTAGTAATTTTGGTGTTAGTTCCTCTGCCTCCAATCCTGGAGATGGCGTCTCAGATGTAGTTCTCTTGTGTCATCAAAGGGGAAAAAAAACCAAACCAAACCAAACCAAACAAAACAACACAAAACAAAAAAAAAAAAACACCATAAATTGTCCCAAGTTCAAATGCAATACGGTTTCAGTAAATTTTTCAGCATGCAGGTGTAGTTCGGTTGTTGTCTCATCAAAGGAAGAGAGAGAAAACAAGAGTCTGGAGAAAGTTCTATGAATGGCTATCTGAGGCTGTGGATTGCCTGCCCGCTGCTGTCAGCTTGCTGTTGCTGGAGGCTTTATTTATGCAGATCTCAGGAGTGATCTTAACACTCACCTAGCCCTGCAGGCTTTGTTTACTTGGAGTTCTCCTGGGTGCAATCACCACTGCTACAATCTTTCCTCTTTCCAATCACACTGGGGGAGGTGACACTGCACCAGCTTTCTCAGGCCTGAGTGTTCATTTACAGTTCACATGGGAAGTGGGTCTTCCCCACTCTCCTGTGGAGTTTTCCTTCCACTGCCACTTTTACAAGCTTTCCCGCTCCTGATTGTTGGCGTGTGCTGCTGCTCCTGCCTTCTCCGGCTGGCTTGTTTATTTACAGTTCATGTGGAAAGTGGGTCTTCCCCTCTCTCCTGTGGAGTTTTCTTTCCACTGCCACTTTTACAAGCTTTCCCGCTCCTGGTTGCTGGGCGTGTGCCGCTGCTCCTGCCTTCTCCAGGTGGCTTGTTGTGAGGGGTTTCCCCTCCCCACCTCTTTGGTGCTCAGGGTGCCCCGCCCTCTTTGCTATATGTCTTTTTTGTTGTTATTGCTTATTTTTCAGTTTTTTTTCTTTTTTTCCCTGGGTGGTGGTCAGTCTGTCCAGGGCGCTATGCTGATCTGGCCCAGGCTTGTCTGTGGGAGTACCACATACCGCTTAGCTCACCTTATGGTTTGCATCTTCCCAAGCCATCTGAGCACTGCCATCTGGCAGTGGCACGGGAGTAGAAATATATTTATTCATTTATTTGCTGGTACTGGGGTTTGAATTCAGTGCTAGGTAAGTGCTCTACCACTTGAGCTTTATCCCCAATACTTTTTGCTCTAGTTATTTTTCAGATAGGGTCTTGGGCTTTTTCCCCTGGGCTGGCTTCTGACTACAATCCTCTATCTATGCCTTCTGTGTAGCTGGGGTTATAGGTATGAGCCACTGTGTCCAGCTCCTAGATATTAAAAAAATCCCACCCCTCCCTTTCAATGTCTCAAATGAATTTAAGAGCATTGTGATTAGATGTTGCCACTGGCTTATTACTTCAACCCAGAGCAAAGCAATACAGGAATCCAGAACATTTCTGCATTTGGAATGGCTTCCTACTCATGCCTGCAGTGTCTAGCTGTAGATAGTGTCTTTCTCCCCTGGCAGACCAGTGGCCCTAGGCCATTCAGATGATTGAAGACTTCCGTCTTCATGCAGAGGCAGGAATAAAAAGGGTGTTGTCTGGGTATTTATTGGCTCCTCATTTTATAGGTACTATGGTTTGAATGTGTCCCTTAAAATTCATGTGTTAGAAACTTAATGCACAAATCTAAGTGTTGAGAAGTGGTCCCTTCTGGGAGGGTTTTAGCTCATCAGGAGCCCTTCTGAATGGATTGATGCCACTATAAAAAGGGGCTATGGGAGTATCACTCCTTCTCTTTCTTCTTCCTCCCACCATGTGAGGCCACAGCAAGAAGGCACACATCAGAATACCTTGATCTTGAACTTCTCAGACCTCAAAACTGTGAGAAATAAATTTCTATGCTTTATAAATTACCCAGTCTGTGGTATTTTGTAATAGAGTAAGACAATAGGGAATAAAGGCCTAATAAATTCTTGGGTCTGTCTCTTAGTGTTTTAAGGTATCTCACTTGTGACGCTAAAAAAGGAAAAGTTGGTCCGAAGTGGGGAAGCAATTCCTATTTTATCTGATCCTAAAGTAGTGTACTTCATGCTCCTTTGGGTTCCTTATTAACTCTTTATTGTTCTTCTGGTTATGATAGTTCACTGCTTGGTCCAAGATAGGCCAGGATTGTAGGAATGTGGCAATTAGGAATCCCTCCACTTTGGAAAGGAAGTAGAATCATTGTTCTCTCTTCTCTTTCCCTACCTTAGCCAGAGGCAAACGTTTGGGTGCTGTTTCCTGCTCTTCATAATCTCTGTACCTGACAACAGACTTGGATTTTAATCTTATTTTGGCTACTTACTATCAGTGTGGTCAGGTACAGACTGACCTTCACTTTCCATTGTATATATGAATAGTGGAATAGTACCTTCCTCATAGGATTATTGGAAGGATTAAATGAAGTGTACATAAAGTGCTTAGTACAATAGATCACATGTTAGTTCGTTTTCTTGTTCATCTCTTCTTGTGGTAGTATAGCACATGCTTCTTTGGCCAGTTAAGAAAGTCTTAAGTATATCCTTACGGGTAAGTATAGTAAATTGTTATAATTTTACATTGACTTAGCATTCATTTTGAATATGTTTTACCTTCTTATACCAGAAGCAGGGTTATGTCACCCTTGTCACCAGGTCTGTACACATTCAAATGGCTCAGGCTGGTAGCCAGAGGTAAGAACTTAGAGGCATCTATCCTGCATAGCAAACTGCACCCTCCACTTTCCCACTGCTCTCTTTAAATGGGCCTGTCATTTTTTTGTCCACATATTTATTTATTCACACCCTATTCCCTTATATATGCTGTTAGTTGCCATATTTTCTACCTGCCTACCTCTTTATTCCTTCCTTTTATGACTTGGGAACATAGGACTTATTACACCTCTGTGCCAAGATATCTTAGTAAAAATCTTTGAACTTTCCTACTGTGTATTGAATTTGCACTTTCCATTTGAAGAACCAAGGGCTGCTCAAGGTCAAGTTCTCCTTAAGATGCTGGAAAAACACAAGATCAGGCTCCTGGTACAACTGTTGGTCAGGAAGGCATAAACTGGATATGTGTCAGATAAGAGCCATCTCTCAGTATAAACAAGTTTCCCCCATGAGGGACCTTCTGGTTGTGCATCAGACAACAAAGCATGAGGTCATCTGCCAGGTAAAAGAAGTGTCATATGAAAGGCACAACTGTAAACACCTATATCTAGCTTCCCTAGCTAGGGCTGCTAGCTGCCCTATTTAATTTGGGACTCATAAAACTAAGTTAAAATAATAACCTTTAATTTGGGACTCATAAAACTAAGTTAAAATAATAACCTTAATTATATAATATAATAATAATAATAACTGATTTAAAAAAAATCAGTCTGAAAAAAATGTGAAAGATGCATCCTTTATTTTTCACCTTTAAAATTATACCTCATGGCATTCACTTCAGTAAGTCTAAGAAATTACTTTCTGATTTGGTAGTTCATAATTTTAGTTTTAATGTAAAAGATTAACTTCCAAACCAAAGCATACACAGTTCTATTAATTAGTATGATTGTGGCAATAGTAAAGCTAGAATAATTAGAGTTCCATGGGAATTCCTTAAAATCATAGGTTCAGTTGTTCCAAAGTAGATGACTGCTAGGGAGGTTGCCATCTTCCTTAGCTGATGTTGAAGAGCTCAGGCTTCAGATGCCTATGTTGGTATCTTATGTTCATTAATTATTGGCTGTGTTTCTTGGGCAAGTTTCTTAACATCTCTGGACTTTAGTTTCCTTATCTGTAAGATGAGAATTATAATCATTCTGACACCATAGAGTTTATAAAATTAAGTGAGATTACTATATATAAAACACTTAGTGCTTGGCCCAGACTAGTTGTTCAATACTTGACTGTGATTATGATCGCCTAAAACAATGTGCAATGCACCTGAGTTCTGATGGGTCATTGTAAAATACCATAAGTAGAAAATGCATTTAATATATCCAACCTAGTCATAGCTTAGCAACACGGTACACTGGAGAGTATCCATTGTTTATGGATACATAAACATGCTGGTGTGGCTGACTGGGAGCTGTGACTCATTGTTGCTGCCCAGAATAGTAAGAAAGTACTGGACCACATATCACTAGTCTTGGAAAAGACTGAACATCAAAATTCCAAGCACAGTTTCCACTGAATACATATGGCTTTCATACCAGTGTAAAACCCCCAAATCATGTCAAATCCTTCTAAGTAGGGGACAGTCCATAACTTATTTGACCTGGGCATCTTCATTCTATTTGTTAGGGTACACACTCTTACACTGCGCTGCAGCCTGGGGTCGTTTGGAAACTTTAAAAGCACTAGTGGAACTGGATGTTGATATAGAAGCTTTAAACTTCCGGGAAGAAAAAGCTCGAGATGTTGCTGCTCGTTATTCCCAGGCTAAGTGTGTTGAATTTCTGGACTGGGCAGGTAAGAAAGCTGACATGGTATTCACAAACTGATTGATGTGATGGAAAGAGATGACTAATACTTTCGCCTTCCAGCTAGATATTTTATTTGCTATTGCAGTAATATATGAAATCTTTTTTCCCCCCTCCATTTTGCTATTGGCTTAAAACATTGTACCTAATAGGAACTGTATATATTGGAAGCTTATTGATTTACCAACTTCTAACAATTTAACCAATAATTTTCTGTATGACTATACTTATATTTTCAAGGCTATTTTCTGAGAGACCCAGGTAAAGTAGACTACTCTTTAAATGTTTAACAAAAAATTAAAATTAGCAAATTTCAGTAATATATTTGATTCACAAGATGAAAAAAATGTTAGTAGCAATTACATATATTTGTTTAGACAAAGTTAATATGGTATTAGTAGCACAATAGTAATTACCCTTATGACATGGGAGATCTTCTGGGATGTTTATCTTTTTCTTAATTTGGTTACTGGTTACATGAGGACATTCATTTATGAAAATTCATTGAGCTGCACACATAATTTTTCAACTTTCTGTATGCATATTCTACTTTAATATAAAATTCAAAAACATGTTGACTTTTGCTAATATTTGTTTACATAATTCCCATAGCCCCATAGAATATAGCTTAGAGAGATTCCAGGAAGACAGACCTATGTAACTTTGTATGTGTGCAAAGATGTTATAAAAATAGTGATTATAAGCATTACAGCATTCATTTTGCATGGTTATCTGCATTTGTGTTTTCAACTAAGTATTTATTTAATACATACTATTGAATATGACAGTATGCTTGTAGGTACAATGGATTGTTCCTGCCTTGTGGACATTGTTATGGGAATGATAGTCTATATACATATTCAACAGTTATGTAACAATATCGGAAAGACTATGATTAAGGGTAAAAGTTGGCCGAGCAGACAGTCCATGCTATCCATGCTATGGGGCAGTCAGAGAACATGCAGTCAGCATTTTGGGGTTGAGCTGGGCCTTGCAGAATGGATGAGATTTGAATATGTAATAGAAGGAGAAAGGGCATGAGCAAAATTTAGAACTGGGGATGAAAGTGGCATGTTGGAGGACAGTGAAAAGATTGCCTTACTGTAGCAGTGAGTCAGAGTTTTCACAGGTAGGCTATGATATAGGTGGAATAGGAGGGCTAGGTACATGGCCTTTGAGACTGCTTGAGTTTCAATGCTGGTGTCTCTACTGGAAACCTCTAAAACCTTGGATAAGGCACTTACATTCTCTATACCTGAGTTTCCTTTTCTGAAAAAGGGGACCAATAATAGTTCCTTCCTCTTGAGAGTTGTGAGAATTAAATGAGATGATGTAAAGCACTTAGCACAATACCTGTCATGTGGTCAGTACTTGAAAAATGCTGCTGCTGTAAGTACAGCCAGATTATACCCTTAAATGCCAGGCTAAGGTGTTTTCATTTTATTCTGGGAGCCACCTTAGTAAGTATGGATTCTTTTATAGTTGAATGGAAATCCAGACTTCTTTGAAAAATTTCAGTAAATATTGTGGCAAAAAAATTACAAAGCCTCCTAATAAACCATTTTTATCCTTAGAGAAGTTCTCTCAATAGATTTCTTTTGTAATCTCCATATTTGATTGAGCTATATTTGCATATGCTTATTTTTAATGTCCTCTGGCTCCTCCTCCACTCTTCTTCCTCTTTAATTTTCGGTGCTTAACTTTCTTAGAGGAAGAATGTTGGGACACCTGCTTCAGGTACTTGGTCATCAATGATGTTGTGGCCAGCAGTCTGCAGAGTATTTGGTCAATGTCATAGATGGATGGACTTTTTAGATCATTACCAAACTTATCTAAGGAGGCTTGTTTTTTCAGCTGAAAGGAGAAAAAACAAATGATAGAAATTTTTATCTTAGTTCAAATTAAATTTATATTCTGAATATATAAACAAATTTAAATTCTTTTTTTTTTTTTTGCAGTAGTGGAGTTTGAACTCAGGATCTTGCAGTTGGTAGGCAAATGCTCTATCACTTGAGCCATGCCCCCAGACCTTTTTAACTTTAGTTATTTTTAGGTAGAGTCTCCTGCTTTTCCCTGGGGGTGGCCTCAGACTGCAGTTCTCCTACCTATGGTCTCCTAGGTAGCTGGAACCACAGGTGCACACCATCGCACCTGACTTATTGACATGGGATCTTGCTAACTTTTTGCCTGGACTGGATTCAAAATGTAATCTTCTCTATCTTTACCTTCTGAATAGCTGGGATTACAGATGTGAGCCACCATGCCTAGCTTATAAACTTAAGTTCTATTAAAATGAATTTACCAGTTATATATACAAAAGAGAAGTTACTATAGAAGAAACATATAAGTGTAGAAGAAATGCTCTTCTGTAATATGCAACAAAAGATTTGATTGATCATTATTGCCACCAACAAATATTTAATGAGTGCTTTCTATGGTTCGAGCACTCTGCTTAGAGAGGTTATTTGAATGTTAGCAATTTTTCCTTTATTAAACAATCTCAATGTGTAATACCATAAAATATTAGTCAAGCCACTTTAAAAATAAGATAATATTGATAAATACCTAAATTGTTCTGAAGGTCAAGGAAATTTTTGTTTTTGGCCAATGAGTTTTAAGATTGTCTCAAACAATGGTGCCATCTATTGGTAAGGTGGGAAATTAGTTTAAAAGCTCTGTTTCTCAGAAAGTTATCCTAACATTAGAAATTAATTTATAGTCCATTAAAAAAAGTTCATGCCAACTTTTGTATTTCATGTTTTTAGATCCAGATGTTTTTAAGAGATCTCTTGTTCCAGATTTAAGAGATCTCTTGTTCCAGATCTTGTCTCATTTTATGAAACAACTGAGAAAGAGCAAATGACTTCCCTTCATTTCCTATACATTCTACACAGTGTAGGTCACTACTTTTATGTTGTGTTTTGTAACTTGAAGTAGAAGGGTTGGACTAGATGATTTTAAGGACCTTCGGATTTTTTACACATTTGTCAAGTACCTTGTATGTGGAAGACACTTGCTAGATACTGGGGATGAGTGGGAAGAGGGAAGATTGAGAAGAAGAGAGGCCTGTCTTCAAAGAAGCTATAATCTTATTTTCTAAACTCTGAGATTCTATAATTATTCGCATCACAAATTCACCTTTTTTTGATGTTTCTTCCATTTCATCCACAGGTAATGTGCAGATAAAACAGACAGGATTAAAAAGAGAGCTTGTATTAAAATATAAGAGAGGTGTAAACAACTCTGAAATATATCCATGTTAGCAAAGTTGCAGCATAGTCTGTCCAGAGGGTAAGGTAGACAGTGAGTTGGAGAATCCTTAACTTTCAGATAATGCACTTCTTCTGGAAAAATATCCCATCCAACTTTTGTCCAGATTGTTCCATCACAAATGCAGAAGCTCTCCCCGAAGAAGCAGATAAACAACAGAGGAAAAATCAGGGCTGGTCCTTGATTAGACATCTTTCTTTCTCAATTGGGAAGAAAATCTGAAGTTAAAAAATTAGTCAGACAGAATGGAAAATGCCCTATTAGTTAATATGGTGCTTCCATCAAGGAGTTTTACTTAGTCTTGTCAGTCAGCCAAATATACCTAGGAAAATACAGTACTGATCCTCATAACATCATCGGTCGCAGTAACTGATGATGAAAAATTCAGTGACATCACAAAGAACTACACTGGAATTAAAAGGTGTCACCCAACCAATCACCTTAGGTTTCTTAAGGATACTTTTTGTTGCTTTTTACTAGAATGCTTTGAGCTTCTTCAATATTCTTAAAAATGAAAGACTTACTAATAAATTAATGATAAATATGTAATAGTATTAATAAAATCTCACAGAAACAATTTATTTATATCCACCTTGGAGACCATGTGGTGCAGTCAGGTGGTGGATGAGCGGAGAGGAAGGTGGTGTGGTATATGGATAAAAGATAAGATGATGAAGTGACTTGATATATGACAAAAAAGGGATATAGACCTGTATTTTAAGGGGCTACAATCTACAGATAAAAAGCAAAAGTCAAGATAATAATAAAAATTATAAGATGACATAAAATGACAGCTAAATAAAATTATTAACATGTAACAGTTGATAGGGCATAGTTTAACCAGGAGGAATTAGCAGGTTTCCAAAATTGTTCTTGAATGGTCCTTGAATTAGGAGTAGAATTTTAGTGGTGGCCACATGAAGAGGGTATCTCAGAATTTCCAAGATTCTGTGTAATCATTTGTACAACTGACACTTATTAAGTGCCTATTGTGTGTTGAATACTGCTCTGAGTTGAAAATACCGATAGAAAATAGAATTCTTACCTTTATGGAGCTTGCTATTTGGCATGGGAACACAGACAATAATTCTATCTAAATCTATGTGTCTGTGGAGTGCTCTGGAGAAAAGCATAGCAGTAAGGGAGGTGGGAAATTGCCAGCCAGTGAATGAGTGACTGTGTGTATTATGAGAGAAATTAAGGTACACATCTGGGGTTTGAATTCAAAGTCTCACACTTGCTAGGCAGGCACTCTACCAATTGAGCCACACCCTCAGCCCCTTTACTTTAGTTATTTTTTGAATAGGGTCTCATGTTTTTGCCTTGGCCTACCTGGACCATGATTCTCCTGTTTATGCCTTCTATGTAGCTGGGATTACAGGCGCCCAGCACCACCCCTGACTTTTTGATTGGGATGGGGGTCTCACTAACTTTTTGCCTAGGCTGGCCTTGAACTGTGATTCTCCCAATCTCTGCCTCCTGAGTAGTTGGAATTACAGGTATGAGCCACTGTACCTGGCTAAGAGAGATATCTTTTCTAAAAGGTGATGCTTGCACAGAAACCTGAAGGAGCAGAAGGAGGGAACCATGTTGATATGCGGGTAGAGGAAGAAGAAAATGAATAGTAGATAGACTCTCTGAATGAATGTTGAAGGGAATTGAAGCTAGAAAGATAATTTGAGGGCTCTGTTTTTATTCAGTAGGGAGTAGGGAGTGATTTATAGGGTTTTAAAAAGAGGAGTGACCAAAATAATAAACTTACTGAATGCTTTGCTGTGTACAGGCACTGTACAGGCACTTCATTATTCATTATACTGTGTACTGCAATCTTGGGTATATACTATGTACTATAATGTTCATAGTTACAATTCAAGTAGAGGCTAGGAGATGGATCCTCCCAGATATCTCTGCAGATGTCAGGAAGCAAAGATTAGGATGATGTATTTGAAGATGGAAGAAGGGGCCAGCAGCCAAGGAGTTCAGGAGCCACTAGAAATTTAGTAAGGCAAAGGCCAGATTCTCAGTTAGAAGCCTGCAGAAGGAATCAGTCCTGCCAACACATCGACTTTAGCGCAGTAGAGTCAATTTCAGACACCTAGCCTCTAGAACCTCAGTTCTAGAGGATAAATTCAAGTTGTTGTTAAGCCACCAAATTTATGGTGCTTGATATAGCATCCACAGAAAACTAAAACATCAGTGTCTAAATTTATTTGAGACTAATCTATAATTTACAAAGTTCAGTTATTCCATCTTGAAGTATGATAAGCACTTCAGTTTATTTGAGTTTTAAAAATTTTTTCTCAGCAAAGTATTATAATTTTAGGTATTTTATTTATTTACTTTTTTTCCTTGCAGTACTGGGGTTTGAACTCAGGGCCTCATGCTTGCTAGGCAGGCACTCTACCACTTGAGCCACTATGCCAGCAGTATTATAATTTTATTTAAGAAGGTCTTCCAAATTTTGTGATAGCATTATTATGGGTACTACAGGGAATGGAATTATTTTAAGCATTTTTAAAGAGGAAGCTATTTTTGAATTTTTTACCACTTGAGCCACTCTACCAGCACTTTTTTTTTTTATTTTTGAATTTTTTTATGCAGGATCAAGAACAGTAAAACAAATGATGGTTTGTGTATTGGAAGTATCTATGTTGTTCTTTTCTCCAGAGTAGACATTTTAATAGATGCAGTGTCTTTGGGATCAAGTGCAAAGTTTGATATTTCCTTTGTTCTTCAAAAATTCTGACACAATTTTAAGAATTGAGTTCTCCAAAGTGATGGACTCATTGAATGCTATCTTCCTGAAAAACTTTTAAGCATTTTTCTTAGTTATGATAGTTATATAGAAGGTTTTGCTGTTTTATCCCAGTTTGGTTCATCCACTCCATTATTCTCCTTCTTTCCCCACTCGCCTTTTAAAAATGACTCTAACACATTTCAATGTTCCATACTCATACATGTACAGAAAGTTCATCAACTATATTTACCCCTCTTTACTCTTTTCATTTACCCTCCCCCTCCTGCTAGTGCCCTCCCCTTAACATGACCTATTTTACATTCTTGTCCTTCATTGTGTAAGTGTCTGTTCATTGTTCAGTGGGATTTTGCCTTGGTATTTTACCTACAAATACGTTGTACTTTAATCAGTCTAACCTCTTTTTCTGAAATTCAATGAAAACAATGACAGCAAATATCCTACATAATCTTTTTTTTTAATTGTTGTACTAGGGATACATTGTGGCATTTACAAAAGTTCTTACAATATATCAAATATATCGTACTTGAATTCACCCCCTCCATCATTCTTCTTTATCCCCCCCTCCCCCATCCCTGGAATAGTTTCAACAGGTCTCACTTTTCCATTTACAAACACATGTACACAGTATTTGTATCCTACACAATCTTTATAAAAATTCTGGATATGTGATAGACTTTACAAACAGCTGAGCATATTTTTTGTTCTTATTGTGTGTTTTTATTGTCCTCTTCTTTCAGATGCAAGGCTGGCTCTGAAAAGATATATTACAAAGGCCTCTCTAATCCTTACTGACTCAGAAAAGGGACCAGGAAAGCTCCTGAAGGAAGACAAGGTGCCACATTGTGATTACTACTTGTTCTGAAGTCTTTTGAGAATTTTGTTTTATGTCTTAATTTCCACACTAATGCTCTTCTTCCCTTCCTCTTCCCCTTTTCTCCTATTCTCTCCCTTCCTTTCTTTATAAACTATTGACAAGGGAAAGACTGAGCAAATTTACATGAAATAGTATTAAAACAATGACATAGAGATGCACCAAATATCACACACAACAACATGGATGAATGTTAGAAATATATATATATATATATTGGTGGGACTGGGGTTTGAACTCAGGGCTTTGCTCAGGTGCTCTACTGTTTGAGCCATACTTCCTACATAGATTTTTTATAAAACTCAGAAGTAAACAAAAACTATATTATTTTAAACTATGGTGTGAAACTATTAAAAAAGCAAAGAAAGCAAAGGAATAAGCCCAGATCGTGGTTATCTCTTGGAGGCAGGTATTGGGTGAGAGAGAGGGCACACAGGAATGTGTTAATAGGACTGGTAGTATCCTGGTCCTTATATTGGAGTAGTCAGATGCACTGATACTCATTTTATTATTTTACTTACAAACTTAAGATTTTTTTAATATATACATTTTAGTATGTGTGTACATATACAAATACATTTTTAATGTATCAAATTTTCTGTATTGGGGATAAAGATAAACAGATGTAAAGATAACTATTATAAGGCCAGCTTGCCACATTACTATGTCTGAGTACTACCTGCCTAATTATTGATTTAGTTGTGCATATGTTCAAGGTGTCAGAAATTTGTTTTGGTTTTAAATTACTTCATTCATTTCTGTGCAGGATGATCTGTGAATTTGCTCTGGCATAATTTATGTGAAAAAGAATTCACTATTGCTAAAATGACATCAGCAAGTCTGAGAACTTGATAAGTTGCACACTGAACTTGTTTCTTATATAAAGTACTCTACGAAATCCTGTGAAACATAATACAGGAAAAATTCTATTAGAATACCTGGTGGAACTGTTAAATCTGCAAAAGCAAATATTTTTTGCATTAAAGGAATAGTGCCTTCTTAAATTAGCTACTAGAAAAGCCTTTTAATTTCAATTAAAAATAAGGTTATCTGAACTAGAAAATGTGTGTACACACAGTAATAATCAGACAAAATGGAGACATCTAAAACCAACATAATGGTTTTCACTTTCCCTTTCCATCTTATTATCCTGTGGTTCTGATAGTAGTTTTGTGTTAATTTCACCATACTTTCCCTTCCCTTATATAAGCGTATGGATGCACATATATAATACAGGTTTATAAGGGAGATTTTTTAAAAATAAAAGTGGGATTGGGCTGGGGGAGTGGCTCAAGTGGTAGAGTGCCAGCCTGGAAAGTGGGAGGCAGTACTGAGTTCAAACCCTAGTACTGCCAATAAAAATTAAATGTGGGATCATACTATGTATACTATTTAATTTGCTTTTCCCTTCTTAATAGCTGATGGACACCTTTCCATCTCCATTTCCTTCTGCATCTATCATTGCTTATTATTATTTAATATTGTGGATGGTATATAACATGAATTTGTTACTTTCTATGTAGTATTACAAACCTTAATGCAGTAGACATGTTTTTTCCGCTTTTCTACTTTTTAATTTACTGTTTTGATGGACATATTTGTACATTCTTTGAGGCACGGTGTGATAAATATCCCAAATCAGACATCAGAAGTTTGCTGCATATGTGTAGTGAGATGAGTTTTGCTTGGATTTCACGGACTTCTTCCTTCAGTGAACCATTCAAGAGGGAATAAAGTATCATCATTGTCTGTTGAGTTGCTTGTAGCTCATACCATCCACCCATTCTTTTCCGACCTTTTGCAAGCACTTCGCTTTGTCACAGGGCTCAATGAAAATGAAGAATTAGAGAGAAGTGGAGAAGTGTAAAGTAGCCCAAACTTCTTGACTCATTTCTTTTTTCTTTTTTTTTCTTTGATACAGGGTTGCACCATGTAACCTAGGCTGGATTTGAACTTAAAAACCTCCTTCCATAGCCTCCCAAAGCTTCTTGATTCTTTTATTTATTTATTTATTTTATTTATTTTTCCTTCCTTCTTTGTTTTTTTTTTAAATTTTTATTGTTTTATTATTCATATGTGCATGCAATGCTTGGGTCATTTCTCCCCCCTGCCCCCACCCCCTCCCGTACCACCCACTCCACCTCCTCCCCCTCCCCTCAACCTCTTCCATACCTGGCAGAAACTATTTTGCCCTTATCTCTAATTTTGTTGAAGAGAGAGTGTAAGCAATAATAGGAAGGAACAAGGGTTTTTGCTAGTTGAGATAAGGATAGCTATACAGGGAGTTGACTCACATTAATTTCCTGTGCATGTGTGTTACCTTCTAGGTTAATTCTTTTTATCTAACCTTTTCTCTAGTTCCTGGTCCCCCTCTCCTATTTGCCTCAGTTGCTTTTAAGGTATCTACTTTAGTTTCTCTGCATTGAGGGCAACAAATGCTAGCTAATTTTTTAGGTGTCTTACCTATCCTCACTCCTCCCTTGTGTGCTCTCGCTTTATCATGTGATCAAAGTCCAATCCCCTTGTTGTGTTTGTCCTTGATCTAATGTCCGCATATGAGGGAGAACATACGATTTTTGGCCTTTTGGGCCAGGCTAACCTCACTCAGAATGATGTTCTCCAATTCCATCCATTTACCAGACAATGATAACATTTCGTTCTTCTTCATGGCTGCATAAAATTCCATTGTGTATAAATACCACATTTTCTTGATCCATTCGTCAGTAGTGTAGCATCTTGACTGATTCCATAAGGTGGCTATTGTGAATAGTGCTGCAATAAACATGGGTATGCAGGTGCCTCTGGAGTAACCTGTGTCAGTCTTTTGGTATATCCCCAAGAGTGGTATTGCTGGATCAAATGGTAGATCAATGTTTAGCTTTTTAAGTAGCCTCCAAATTTTTTTCCAGAGTGGTTGTACTAGTTTACATTCCCACCAACAGTGTAAGAGGGTTCCTTTTTCCCCACATCCTCGCCAACACCTGTTGGTGGTGTTGCTAATGATGGCTATTCTAACAGGGGTGAGGTGGAATCTTAGTGTGGTTTTAATTTGCATTTCCTTTATTGCTAGAGATGGTGAGCATTTTTTCATGTGTTTTTTGGCCATTTGAATTTCTTCTTTTGAGAAAGTTCTGTTTAGTTCACTTGCCCATTTCTTTATTGGTTCATTAGTTTTGGGAGAATTTAGTTTTTTAAGTTCCCTATATATTCTGGTTATCAGTCCTTTGTCTGATGTGTAGCTGGCAAATATTTTCTCCCACTCTGTGGGTGTTCTCTTCAGTTTAGAGACCATTTCTTTTGTTGAGCAGAAGCTTTTTAGTTTTATGAAGTCCCATTTATCTATGCTATCTCTTAGTTGCTGTGCTGCTGGGGTTTCATTGAGAAAGTTCTTACCTATACCTACTAACTCCAGAGTATTTCCTACTCTTTCCTGTCCAACTTTAGAGTTTGGGTCTGATATTAAGATCCTTGATCCATTTTGAGTTAATATTGGTATAGGGTGATATACATGGATCTAGTTTCAGTTTTTGCAGACTGCTAACCAGTTTTCCCAGCAGTTTTTGTTGAAGAGGCTGCTTTTTCTCCATCGTATATTTTTAGCACCTTTGTCAAAGACAAGTTGGTTATAGTTGTGTGGCTTCATATCTGGGTCCTCTATTCTGTTCCACTGGTCTTCATGTCTGTTTTTGTGCCAGTACCATGCTGTTTTTATTGTTATTGCTTTGTAATATAGTTTGAAGTCAGGTATTGTGATACCTCCAGCATTGTTCTTTTGACTGAGTATTGCCTTGGCTATTCGTGGCCTCTTGTGTTTCCATATAAATTTAACGGTAGATTTTTCAATCTCTTTAATGAATGTCATTGGAATTTTGATGGGAATTGCATTAAACATGTAGATTACTTTTGGGAGTATAGACATTTTTACTATGTTTTACCAATCCATGAGCATGGGAGATCTCTCCACTTTCTATAGTCTTCCTCAATCTCTTTCCTCAGAAGTTTATAGTTTTCCTTGTAGAGGTCGTTCACATCCCTTTGTTAGGTTTACACCTAGGTATTTGATTTTTTTTTGAGGCTATTGTAAATGGAATTGTTTTCATATATTCTTTCTCAGTTTGTTCATTATTAATGTATAGAAATGCTAATGATTTTTCTATGTTGATTTTATATCCTGCTACCTTGCTGTAAGCTTCTTGATTCTTGATGGTGAATTTTACTAACTCATATTCTGCTGATGTTAGAGCTGTTACTGCTCAATTCAGTAGCCGCAACCCACATGTGCCTATTTAAATTAGAATTATTAAAAATTAAATGTCATTTAAAATTCATTTCCTCAGTCAAAATAGTCACATTTCTAGTACTCAACAGCTAAATATACCTAGGGCCACTGTACTGGACAGTGCAGATGTAGGACATTCCCAGCATCACAGAAGGATCAGTTGGACAGTGCCGGTTTAGAGACATGATAGAGTTTTATTTTTCAATAAATAAGTGGAAAATAAATTCACTGTTTTTGTCCCTAGAATGCCATCCTTAATGCAAGCCGTGCAAAAAATGAGTGGCTGGAAACCCATCCAGAAGCTTCCATTGATGAACTCTATGAGCAGAGACAGCAACTGGAAGATATTGTGGCTCCCATCCTCATAAAAATGACCACACCACGTAAGTTGTGAACAGAAGGTGGTTCAAATGTCAGAAGAGATGAGAATTAAGTCCAATGCTGTTATTTCTGAGATCGTGTTTTTTAACAATCTTCCTTAAGTAATAATTAACTTTGCTATAAGTACTAATCCATGGGAGATTGGGTCCAATTTCCCTAGCTTCATTATTAGTTATAACTAATAGTAATAGCTAAATTCCTTCCATAACAAATGCCTAATACTAATTTTGATATTATGATCATTAGTCATTAAATGTTATATGTTTTTTTGGAAGACAGGGTCTTGCCTCAAACTCTCCATCCTCTTGCTTCAGCCTTCCAAGTGCTAGGATTACAAATGTGCACCCAATACCCAATTTATGCCTTTGATTTTGATCAGTGATGCTCAAACAGGAAAGCATGTCCTCCCGGGAGGCAGAGTGGCAGAATTTGAAAAAGAATTTTCAGTATTATCATTCTATATTTGGGGAGAAGCCTATTGTGGGAGTACCATCCTGAGAATGGAAAAGGTGCATGTATCAGACTTTTGGTGGCGGATATATCTAAGATTTGTAAAAATAGCAGATTTGCTGGGTGCAGTGGCTCATGCCTGTAATTCCAACTACTTGGGAGATGGAAATAGGAGGATTGCAGTTTGAGGCCAGCCTGGAAAACAGTCAGTAAGACCCTATCTCAATAGCAAAGCTGAGTGGTTGGTACCCGTGGGAGTAGGGGAGGATGTGAGGAAGGGGTGTAGGAGGGTGAGTATGGTGCAAATACTGTGTACACATGTATGTTCATTGAAAATTGAGACCTGTTGAAACTATTCCAGGAATGAGAAGGAGAGAGGATAAAGGAGAATGATGGAGGAGGTGAATTCAACTATGATATATTTGATATATCATAAGAACTTTTGTAAATGTCACAATGTACCCCCAACACAACATTAAAAAAAAAAAGGAAAAAAAAAAAAGCCGAGTGAGGTGGTTCACATTTGTAAGTACATGGGAGGCATAGGTAGGAGGGTCATGGTCTGAGGTTGGCCCATGCTAGCACACATGATCCTGCCTGGAAAATAACCAAAGCTATAAGTGCTAGGAGCATGACTGAAGTGATGAAGTACTTGTCTAGCAAGCTTAAGGCCCTAAGTTCAAACCCTAGTGCCACACACACACGCAAATAATAGCTTTATTGAGATATAATTCTCATAAAATTCACCTTTTTAAAGGGTCCAATTGAGTGGTTTTCAGTATATATACAAAGTTGTGTAATTATTCCATTATTTAATTTTAGTATACCCCAAGGAAGAAATCCTACACTTACTAGCAGACACTTCCATTCCTCCCTTACCAATGCCCTGCCAACCATTATGGTTCCTGTTCTTCCTTCCTCCTTCCCTCCCTCCCTCTTCCCTTCCTCTCTCTCTCCTTGCTCTCTCTCTCCTCCCTCTCTCTCTCTCTCCATTCCTTCCTTCCTGTGGTACTGGAGGTTGAACTGAGGGTCTTGCACTTGGTAGGGAAGCACTCTACCACTTGAGCCACTCCACCAGCCCCATTAATTTACTTTCTAGCTCTCTGGATTAATTGTTTTGAGCTTTTCATGAATAGAGTCATGAAGTAATATGTTGGCTTTTGTGGTTGGCTTCTGTCACTTAGCATAATGTTTCAAGGGTATAATATCCATGGTGTATCAGTACTTTATCCCTTTTTATAGCTGAACATTCCATTATATGGATATGAATTTAATCCATTTATCAGTCAATGTACATTGGCTTGCCACTCTTTTAGCTATTATAAATGATGATGCCAATGAGATTTTATGTCAAAATTTTTGTATGTCAAAATTTTGTATGTTTCCACTTTCCTTTGGTATATAAATAGAAGTGTGATTTCTGGGTCACATGGTAACTCTACAGGTAACCTTTTGAGAAACTGCCTGTTTTCCACTTTCAACAGCAGTACATGAAAATTCCAATGTCTCCACATATTTGTTAACATTTGTTATTTTCTTTTAAAATTTTTTAGTCATTCTAGTGGATGTGAAGTTGTATCTTCATAATGTAGTTCTGACTTTTGTTTCCCTAATTATAATGCTTTTAGTCCCTTCATATGTTCATTTGTATATTTTCTCTGGAGAAACATCTGTTTTTAATTCATTGTAATTTTTTTGTATGTATGTGTGTGTGTGTGTGGTGCTGGAGATTGACCCCAGAGCCTTCTGCATGTTAGGCAAGTGCTCTACTATTGAACTATATTCCCAGCCCTAATTCTTTTTAATTTTTAAGTTGAGTTGTCTTGGGTAGGGGGTGTAGCTCAGTGATAGCTCACTTGCCTAGCATGTATGAGGCACTGAGTTCAATCTCTAGCATGGAAAATGATCTTTTTATTTAGATGCAGGAGTTATTTATTTATTATTATAGTATATTATATAGTGATATAGTATATAATAATATAGTATATAAATATATACATTATATAAAATTGCTCTTTGATGAATGTCATTGGGATTTTGATGGGAATTGCATTAAACATGTAGATTACTTTTGGGAGTATAGACATTTTTACTATGTTGATTCTACCAATCCATGATCATGGGAGATCGCTCCACTTTCTATAGTCTTCCTCAATCTCTTTCTTCAGAAGTTTATAGTTTTCCTTGTAGAGGTCGTTCACATCCTTTGTTAGGTTTACACCTAGGTATTTGATTTTTTTGAGGCTATTGTAAATGGAATTGTTTTCATATATTCTTTCTCAGTTTGTTCATTATTAGTGTATAGAAATGCTAATGATTTTTCTATGTTGATTTTATATCCTGCTACCTTGCTATAGCTATTGATGGTATCTAGGAGCTTTTGAGTAGAGATTTTTGGGTCTTTAAGATATAGGATCATATCATCTGCAAATAGGAATATTTTGACAGTTTCTTTACCTATTTGTATTCCTTTTATTCCTTCTTCTTGCCTAATTGCTCTGGCTAGGAATTCCAGTACTAGCTCCTGATTTTAGAGGGAATGGTTTCAGTTTTTCTCCATTAAGTATAATGCTGGCTGTAGGTTTGTCATATATAGCTTTTATGATGTTGAGGTACATTCCTTTTATTCCTAGTTTTCTTAGAGCTTTTATCATGAAATGGTGTTGGATTTTATTGAAGGCTTTTTCTGCATCTATTGAGATGATCAAGTGGTTTTTGTCTTTGCTCTGTTAATATGGTTTCTTACGTTTATTGATTTTTGTATGTTGAACCACCCCTGCCTTCCTGGGATGAAGCCTACTTGGTCATGCTGAATGATCTTTTTGATGTGTTGTTGAATTCGGATTGCCATTATTTTATTGAGGATTTTTGCATCAATGTTCATTAAGGAGTTTGGCCTATACTTCTCCTTTTTGGAGGTGTCTTTGCCTGGTTTTGGGATAAGTATAATACTGGCTTCATAAAATGTGTTAGGCAGTTTTCCTTCCCTTTCTATTTTGTAGAACAGTTTAAGGAAGGTTGGTATCAGTTCTTCTTTAAAGGTCTGATAGAATTCAGCAGAGAATCCATCAGGTCTTGGACCTGATGAAACTCTTGATTGCTGCTTCAATTTCATTTTGTGTTCTAGATCTATTCAGGTGATTAATATCCTCTTGGTTCAGTTTTTGATGATCATATGTATCTAGAAATCTGTTCATTTCTTTAGGATTTTCGAATTTATTTGAATATAGGTTCTCAAAATAGTCTCTGATGATTTCCTGGACTTCCGTGGTGTTTGTTGTTATCTCCCCTTTTGCATTCCTGATTCTACTAATTTGGGTTTTTTCTCTTCTCATTTGAGTCAGGTTTGCTAGGGGTCTGTCGATCTTGTTTATTTTTTCAAAGAACCAACTTTTTGTTTCATTAATTCTTTGTATGGTTTTTTGGTTTCTATTTCATTGATTTCAGCTCTTATTTTTATTATTTCTCTCCTTCTATTTGTTTTGGGATTTGCTTGTTCTTGTTTTTCTAGGAGTTTGAGATGTATCATTAGGTCATTGATTTGGGATCTTTCAGTCTTTAATATATGCACTCATGGCTATAAACTTTCCTCTCAGGACTGCCTTTGCTGTGTCCCATAGGTTCCGGTAGGTTGTGTTTCATTTTCATTGACTTCCAGGAACTTTTTAATTTCCTCTTTTATTTCATCAGTGACATGTTGTTCATTAAGCAATGAGTTATTAAGTTTCCAGCTGTTTGCATGTTTTTTGTCTTTACTTTTGTTGTTGAGTTCTAGTTTTATTGCATTGTGATCAGATAGAATGCATGGTATAATTTCTATTTTCTTATATTTGCTGAGGCTTGCTTTGTGCCCTAGGTAGTTTTGTGCTGCCTGTCCTTTCATGGTTTGTTGTGTTTCTCTTTTTGTGTGCAGAATCCCTTGAAGAATCTTTTGTAGTGGTGGCTTTGTGGTCACATATTGTTTTAGTTTCTGCTTATCATGGGAGACTTTTATTGCTCCATCTATTTTGATGATAGTTTTGCTGGGTAGAGTATCCTAGGGTTGAAGTTATTTTCATTCATTGCCCGGAAGATCTCACCCCAAGCTCTTCTTACTTTTAATGTTTCTGTTGAGAAGTCTGCTGTGATTTTGATGGGTTTACCTTTGTATGTTATTTGTTTTTTCTCTCTTACAGCCTTCAATATTCTTTTGCTCGTTCCTGTACTTGTTGTTTTAATGATAATATGCCGTGGGGTAGATCTATTTTTGTCTGGTGTGTTTGTTGTTCTTGAGGCTGCTTGCATCTGTATGGGCATAGATTTTTCTAGATTTGGGAAATTTTCTGTAATTATTTCATTGAATATGTTATGCATTCCCTTTGCTTGCACTTCTTCTCCTTCTTCAATGCCCATGATTCTCAGGTTTGGTCTTTTGATGGAGTCAGTGAGTTCTTGCATTTTCTTTTAGCATGTCTTGAGTTGTTTAACTAATAGTTCTTTGGTTTTTACTTTAATTACCATTTCATCTTCGAGTTCTGAGATTCTGTCTTCTGCTTGTTCTGTTCTGCTGGAT